CGTCGTCAAGTCTCGGACTATATAACACGTTACAATAGCCGTCCACTCACTAAACCTCCTTCTTTACACTCATCCAATATGGCTGCCCCGACCACAGACCCGCTCCTCCCTCCCGGTTCCCTCCTTTTAGTGACTGCAGCGAATGGCCTCATCGCATCACACATCGTAGACCAGCTCCTGGACCGCGGCTACCGTGTGCGCGGCACAGTCCGCGACCGTTCGCGCTGCTCATGGATGACCCCATTGTTCCAGAACAGACATCCTCACTCCCATCTGGAACTCGTCGAAATCCCCGACATCAATGCACCGGGATGCTATGATGCGCCCCTCAAAGGCGTCTCGGCAATCATTCACACCGCAGCCAACATGAGCTTGACAGATGAGCCCAGCATCATCCCGCAAGCCATAAAAGCGACCCTTAACATCATGGAAGCCGCAAAGAATGCGAACGAACGCGGGGAGAAGATCAAAAGAGTCGTGCCGACAAGCTCGAGCTGGGCAGTCGCATATCCGCGTCCCAACGTGCCGATGGAATTGACGGCGGAATCGTATGACACTTTCGCCTCCAAAGCCCTCGAGAACCCGGACACACCCAAAGAGTTCCGCGGTCTCATGACCTACGTTGTCACTAAATTGCGCTCTGAACAAGAGGCTTGGAAATGGTGGAAAGAAAACTCGACCTGTGGGTTCACTCTCAACACCGTCATGCCCGCCACTTGCATGGGTCCCGTTCTTTCTCCAGACAACCAGTCGTACCCTTCAACTGTCGGCTTCGTGCGTTCTCTTTATGAGGGAAAGAATGCAGAGTTATTCGAGTGGTTGGATCCACAGTGGTTTGTTGATGTGCGGGACGCAGCTCGGCTTCATGTTGCTGGAGCGGTTCTTGGTGGTGTAGAAGGGGAGAGAATTTTCGCGTTTTCTGAAAAGTATACGTGGACTGGTGTGGCTGCCGTGTTAGAGAAAGAGATGGGGAGTAAGGTGCCAGTTCAGTTGAAAGACAAGGGGACGGACATGACCACTGTGAAAGGCGGAAGAGAGAGAGCTGAGGAATTGCTGAGGCGGTTGGGGAGGCACGACTGGGTGAAATGTGAGGTGAGTGTTAGAGAGAATATTCGATGTTTCTATCCTAAACCGTAAGGTCCAGGTCAAACGGTTAATAGTATTGACGGCGTTGGCGAGTGGAGATGACGTAAAGCCACATCACCCGATTTGGTAAAACTGTATACGTATATCATGAAGCATATTACAGCAAACGGATTCGTTTACCAGTTGGTATATCTTCTTTCATCAGGCCGTTCTGAACAATTCCCCACTCAACCTCTCTCTCACTCCTCCCGAACCGATATGGCTACCCTCGACACCCTCAAACAAGCACTTGTGCAACATTCATGTGCAACAACGTCGTCTACAAAGAAACCGTTGTCTGAAGAGCAGTACAGCACCGGTTTCGACATATTAGTACGCGACGTGGGATGGAAGACGTATCAGGACTTCATCATTCCCCAACTTTCCCAATTGCTAGCCTCACTCTTCAGCTCACGGCTTTCCATCTCAGCGCTTGAGATTGGACCCGGTCCTACGAGTGTCCTTGGATACATTCCTATCGACCTAGGGCGCAAGATCAAGAGATATACAGCATACGAACCAAACAACTTGTTTGCTACGAGGTTAGAGAATGGGTTTCGCTCTGGTTCCTCAAACACAGAGTCGCCGATGCACTGCCTCGAGAAACCGCCTGAGATTCATCGGACTTCTTTCACCATCCAAGATGTCAAGATCGGTGATGACAACGAGAAATACGATGTTATCCTCTTTTGTCACAGCATGTACGGCATGAACCCAAAACACAAGATCATCGAACGAGCACTATCAATGCTAGCGGAAAACGGAATGATAGTCGTTTTCTACCGCAACAGCTTGCATATCGATAACTTGGTGTGTCATAAAACAGTTTCGTTTCCCACTGGAATCACTAGCGTTGTGGATGACGATGAGATGCTGGACCGTTTTGCTCCCTATATCGCAGGCTTTACAGAACAAGACAAGACGATGCGAGGACAGTGGCGTAACATATGCCGGACCCTGGCCCGCCGCGACCCAGACCACCCAAACCATCTCTTTTTCGGTTCTCCGGAAGCCATGGTAGTCTTCAGTCAACATGCGACATCTTTACCAGAGTTGACGGCCCTGGTACCGGTGGTCAAGGAAGATATGGCGGTCAAGAACCGGGAAGCTCGACAACACCGCCCTGCGTCAATTATCCGACCAACACAGATCGAGCATGTCCAACAGTGTGTTAAATGGGCTTTGAAGCATGAGTTCGGCCTGACCGTTATCGGCGGAGGCCACAGCGATCACTGTCTTTGGCCCAACGTGGTTGCCGTTGACATGAGTGCTTTCGCCCAAGTCCATGTTCTACCAGCGAAGAATGAAGAATCTGCCGATTACGAATCATACTCATTAGTCATTGCCGAAACCGGTTGCAAAACTGGGGACATCATTGCCAAAGCCATGGACGTTGGGCTGACGGTACCTCTGGGTGCTCGTCCAAGTGTGGGTGCTGGATTATGGCTACAGGGCGGCATTGGGCATCTCTCTAGATCACACGGTCTCACTTGCGATGCCGTTGTTGGTGCCGTTGTGGTCAGCGTTAAATCTGGTCAGATACTGTATGTCGGATGTGTGCCAGAACAACATCGACCCGCCGGCGCCATCCGGGCTCACAACGAGGCTGAACTTCTATGGGCGATTAAAGGAGCTGGAACCAATTTCGGCATCGTCGTCAGTGTGACTTTCAAGGCGTGTATAGCCCCACGATACTTGGTTCGGAACTGGGTCTTGCCGCTGAGTGATTCCCACGAAGCGCAGGAAAAGCTTGGTGAATTTGATAAACGAGTAGCGAGGGAACTCACACGAAATTGCTCCGCGGATGCCTATTTGTACTGGGACGCCGGGAAACTCCATCTCGGTGTGACCATGTACGAAGTTTCTATCACCAGCCTCGGTCCTGATTACGTGTCTTCCACGCCTACATATGCAGAAGCAGTCTTGGGCAAACAAAATGATGCCCAAGTCGTGGACAGTGTCGGTATGTTCGAGACCGAGATGTACATGTCTGGAATGCACGGCGGACACAGCAGCGGCAAGACCTCCTCATTCAAGCGCTGTGTGTTTCTGATGAGCATTTCCGAGATCAATATTATCAATAAGCTGATTGCCGCTATTGAGACTCGTCCCTCGGCGCTCTGCTACCTCCATCTACTACATGGCGGCGGAGCGGTTACCGATGTTGCGGCCGAAACCACCGCCTTTGGCTGTCGAGGGTGGGACTTTGCTTGTGTGATAACAGGAGTCTGGCCTCGCTATCAAGATGACACCGAAACCGCACGTTCCACGGTACAATGGGTCTACAAAGTTGCCGAAGACCTCCTGCCATTTAGTAGCGGAGCATACAGTGCTGATCTCGGACCAGACCCGAGAGATTCTACACTGGCGGTGAAAGCTTTTGGACCAAATGTACCGCGTCTCGCTCGTCTCAAACACAGTCTGGATCCGTCCAAGGTGCTTCCTTACAGTTGCGCGCTTCCGAAAGTATCGGATGGGCAGAAACTCATTGTGCTCGTTACCGGGAAAAGCTGCGTTGGTAAAGACTACTGTGCTAGTATCTGGGCCGATGAGATTATGAGGAACACCCAGAAAAGCAGAAAAGTTCGCGTAGTCAGCATCAGCGATGCGATTAAGCGTGAATATGCGACAGCCAGTAGTGCTGACATTCATCGACTACTTTCGAACCGCGACTACAAAGAGCAACATCGACCAGCATTGACAGACTTCTTCCAACAACAAATGCGCGAGCGGCCTCAGATACTAGAAGAGCAGTTTCAGAATGCAGTGCAAGGAGCCGGAGATGTTGACGTGCTGTTCATTACTGGAATGAGAGATCAATCGCCAGTTACAACCTACTCGCATTTGGTACCAGGGAGTAGACTAATTGAAGTCCATGTTCAGACAAGTGAAAGCACACGACGAGTCCGCAAAGGATACGACAATGACGGCAACAATATGGATATCAGTGAGAATATGCAAACTTCAACAAGCCCGGTATATCGCCCTAGTCTCGTCTACGACAACGATGGAATCGGAAAAGAGGGAGCGAAGATATTCGCGGGAACTCATCTCCTTCCCTTCCTCCATGAAGACCTACAGCGACTAGCCAGTATGGTACGCTCGGTACCCGACTTTCCACGTCCTGGCATACAGTTTCGCCATATCCTCGGCATTGCACAGCACCCAGGTGGGTTGGCCCTGTGCACATCTCTCCTACGAACCCATTATACGGGAGACTGGGCGAAAGTAGGCGCCATAGTCAGTTGCGAGGTTGGCAGCTTAGTCTTTGCGCCAGCATTGTCTTCACAGGTCAACGTACCCCTGAAACTCATCCGAGAGGCGGGTAAGCTGCCGCCACCAACTGTGTCTGTTCCAAAACCTTCATCATACATCTCGTCCAGAGGAACTGATGTTGCGGAGAAACGAATTGGAATGGAGCGTGATGCAGTTTCTAAAGGGGTACCAGTAGTTGTAGTGGACGATGCACTGTCCTCTGGCAACACGCTTTGCGGGGTGTTGAAGTTGTTGAACGAAGCCGGCATTGCTTCTGAGGATATCAGCGTGATGGTGGTGGCCGAGTTCCCGGTTCATCGAGGTCGTGACTTGTTGCGGCAACATGGATTTGGCAAAGTCGACATACAGAGTCTGCTCGTCTTTGGTGATGCGTAGAGAACAGGAAGGACAAGTTGGACATATTCCGACTACGCGATATAACACACGATAGCAATCAAGGGATTCCGATTGTAATAGATTCACGCTAAACGCTTTCATACGGGTGAAGTTTCCTCACCTCGCTTAGCCTAACTCTGCCGACCCGCCCGCCACACTCCAAAAAAAAATTCGCCTTCCCCAACACCACCACCAGAACTCGAAAACGGCAAAAAGAATGATGTTGACAAGAGTGGGATTCGAACCCACGCGTATTACTACACTAGCACCTGAAGCTAGCGCCTTAGACCGCTCGGCCATCTTGCCCTTGTAATTGATGAAAGTTTCTTGCCGTAACTGATACATATAGTCTTTGCAAAACCCGTCTGAGAAAGTTGGACGAGATAAGTTGAGGGAATGTAGTGTGCAATTAGCTATTCGGATAATTTTTTTGTGGGACGGAAGGAGTTGGGTGATTGGATGGAAGGGTTAGTGGGACTGGGTGGACTTTGGGTTCTGAGCTTACGAACGGGCCGGTAGAGATGAACTTCACTTCTTACACAACAGTTCTTAGGGAACGAGATAATGTATTGGTCTTTCGAGCAGTCTTCGACGTTTATTACGGCGCCCTTCAAAATCCTCTCCTACTCCTCTACGTGACTAATTTTTTATTTTTCCAATTTTTCATTTTCCTGCAACCGTTGACGCGATCGTGATAACGCAAGAGTCCGCACCGCAATGAGGCACAGCTCTTCGACATACCTTATCTAATGTCAGCCGCATTCGGGACCCAATATATCGCAAAAGCTAGAGTGCAAAATGCCATGTAGGTTCGCGGGGTAGAAAGGAAGTGGCCTCGATACGTGGCCAAACAGGAAACAACACCTTTCCTATTAGTCCACTTTTTCCATTCTCCGTTACCTATTACTGTAGACTTGCGAGATCTTCATGGACGATCAACAACCATGATTGTCGTCGAGGTCAGCCCTAGAACACTTGCCACTTCAATCATCTCCATCATGTCCCCTGCATTCCTCCGTGGCCCACACGAACGTGGTATATATCATCAGACCATACTACTCATCTTTACAGCAACCTCATACGTGTTCGTGATCATAACTCCAACATCGGCCCTTAACTTCAATGCTCCTTCTAATAGGCTGTCCCCCCTCCTTCTCAAAATAGTTTCCTTGGTAGCATCCTATCCGATGCTCTAGATGATGAAATATCACGTACTTTGGTATAGCTACTTGTGGAGACGAAGATCACCGCAAAGACGATCCAAGTACAAATAACCCGATTGATCATGGGCGTAAAGTCTTTGACCGCCATTGTGATGGTCAAGGTAATCGGTTTTCCGAAGTTTGACGAATGGTGAGCGACTCACCACGTGTCGCCAATAGATTTGGATATCGGACTGGTTCCAGATTGACTCGACGGGGTATGAATCTCTCAGACTTGATAGGACCATTCAGAAGCAATTGGAGTCTCCTGGGCCTGAATCATGAATGAGAGGCGAGAAGAAAAGTATCAGTGCTGTCAGCAGCACTGATATCAAGATGAAACAACATGCTGAATCGCTTATACCCTCTTGTGATAGGATTAAGGCTGTTTGTTCGTGAGGCTGCTTTTCGAGGGGTATACAGTAGAGATACACAGTAGTTGTACTGTCTTTGTCCAGTACGGTACACAATAAGTTGATACGAGATGCACAGAGTTGTCGGCACTAGACTTGCGATAGGATTAGCACCTACTATTGGAGTTCTTATTCCCGAGATGGCCTAGTTTCACGCGTGGTCAATAGGTGGGCACAGACAGCCGAGGCGCGTTCTGCTAACCTTAAATCGACCAAACTACCGACTACGCCCCTAACCCCTGTCCTCACAGTTCCAGCTTAACCTTCATGGCACGATGAATATCCATGGCGTGGCTGCATGCCTATGTGACGGGCATGTATGATATAACCATACATCTGGAATCAACTTCCCAAAACGTAGAGCCTACGGTACGGATACGAGTTAGAGACGAAGCGGGTAAAGCAGAACACATTCAATGTTGAGCTGAAAAAACTCAGAATTGGGTGGAGAGGTCTCGTAACCCAACGCCATACCACCACCACCGACATCATCAAACGCCCCGGAACGCCCCCGAACGCCCCATGGTCATGCATTTGGTAGGCCCACCGCTGTTTGGGAGCGTCAAACGCGGTAGCTCCCATTGAGCTGAGGAGACAACTTGGCGTATTTCTCGGTTTCTGGCCCGTCGACTACCAATATCAATTATACCAAGAGTCAAGCCCGATGCCGATTTAGAGGAGATACTCATAGATGAAGTACCATAGTGGTCTAGGACATGGAAGCGCCCATCTCCGTATAATCTGCAGGATCGGCTCTGTTCTGAAGCAAGCAATAAGCCACCCGTCCCAATGCTCAACAGTTCGGAAATCTCGCTGATTGGTAGCGGTTAGAGGGATATCTTTTGTTGGAGCCAGCTAATCAAGAGTGGGGTTTCGACATGGTAAGATATAAGTGACGTAGTATTTAAGCTTCACTCTCAATCACTCTAGGTCCTCTCATCTTTCGCCTTGTTGATCACCGACTCATGGTCAGTGACCATTAGCTCCCGTTCACATATTATATCTCACCACCCCTTCTCTTTTATCTGACGCTACACAATACTATCGTACCTATAATGGCAGTCGTCAATCTAGTAACAACTGTCTCAATCCTTGGCGTCTTTGTGTTGCTCGCACATCAAATTTTCTCCTATTTACGCTCGCCACTGAGGAAACTACCCGGTCCACGCATCGCCAAGTTTACCAATCTATGGCGCCTCAAGACCCACTATGACCGGACACACGTTGAGACACAGATCGATCTTCACGCCAAATACGGTGATGTGGTCCAACTCGGGCCCAACGTCGTCAGTGTAGCCAATCCAAACATGATCAAGACGATTTACTCTACGCGGGGCACATTCCCCAAGGCAAGTACTTCTTCCTCTACAATCATACCGACACATTATTTACAACCCGCAGAGCGAATTCTACTCCGTTAACGATGCCATGCAACCCGACGGCACCATCGTTGAAAATATCTTTGGCACCCGCAACAATGAGTTCCACTCCCGACAAATCAGGCCCATACAGAAAATGTACTCACTGCAGAGTGCGCAAAAGCTTGAACCCGTGCTGGACAACACATTCGATGTCCTATGCCGTGAGCTCGAGCGCCAATTCATGGACGGCAAGAATGAGGGTAAGACTTGCGATATCGCGGACTGGGTTTTGTTCTTTGCGTGGGACTTTCTTGGCGATGTGACATTCAGTCAGCGCTTCGGTTTCATAGAGGCTGGAGAAGACGTCGGGGGTATGCTTGATACAGCGGAGAGAGTTATGAGATATTTCTCTGTTGTAAGTCCACCATCTATCATCCCATGGGCAAGTTTGCTTCAGAGATGCAGACTAACTCGCATAGGTTGGTCAAATCCCTACCTTTGACAAACTACTAGCTAAGAACCGCTACTTCCCCTTCAAATTCCCTGACTTCTCTGGCGCGGCCGGATTCTGCGTTGAGCGCTTCAGCGAGCGGATGCAGAACTTCGAGGCCATGAAAGGCAACAAAGACTTCCTGAGCGGCTTTCTCCAAGTGCAGCAAGAATATCCAAGTGTAACTGTCCATGATGTGATCGGTTGGCTGATTATCAACGTAAGTTCACCAACCCTCCTTAATATGAAATGATCACTGACCAAATGTCTAGATCCTAGGCGGTGCCGACACAACCGCCATAGTCATGAAAGCCCTCTTCTACCACATCCTCAAGTCCCCCTATACAAAAAACACTCTAGTCACCGAACTCAAAGCCGCCAATCTAACCTACCCACCATCCTACGCCTCCCTCTCAGGTCTGCCCTACCTCAGCGCTTGTATAAAAGAAGGACTCCGCATGCACCCTGTTATTGGGCAGATTGCCGAACGTGTTGTGCCGTTGTCATCCCCGGGTCTTACTATTCCGTACCCTCATCCCGACTCCGATACCAGTGTCACGCTCCCACCCGGGACGATCGTTGGTATGAATCCCTGGGTCGTCCACCGTCAGGCCGCTACTTTTGGCTCGCGACCCGATGACTTTATCCCAGAGCGCTGGATGCAGGGATATGTGGCGGGCGAGGGGGTACAGGAATGGGAAGGCAGGGTCAAGAGGATGACGGCGGCGGATATGAGTTTCGGAAACGGGAATCGGACGTGTTTGGGACGCCCACTGGCGTTGGTGGAGTTGTATAAACTGGTTGCTACTTTGTTTGGCAAGTATGAGGTATGTGACTTTCCTTTCTTTGAAGTGTTCAGGGGTTGGGGAGACTGAGGGGGGAAGAAGACGAGATGAATGGATGCTGACAGCGGTAATACAGATTGAACTCGAAGACCCGAACCAGGAGTGGGAGTTGCATAAGCAGTGGTTCGTATGGCCGCATAAGATCCGGGTGCAGATGCGCCCGCACTAAGTTAAGTTGTAGGGAACATGCTCAACTTAACCATCAGTGCATGCATCCCTCCTGTACGTATATGAGTTTTGAGACATACGAATTTTCATGTCCTGTCTCCTTGGTAATAATTCGTCGCTATGAATAATGATTTAATCGCTTATAACCTCCATGGATATCGACCGTGTCCCCTCAGCCGTAAACACCTCATGTACGCCCTATAACCAAAGAAGGAGACTAAGTCTGTGTCCCCTGCGATATGACTATGCGCCTTCAACTCCTAAGCTCGAAATCAATATTCAGGTCAACATTCAAGTCACGTACAGGCTCCTAAGAGCCCTGGCCAACGTCTTCCAATCCATCACCATTCGACAATCCAAAGCTATTTCTGCTATTGCCAATGGGTGTGCCGTCACCGCCATTCATCTGACCATTCATCTGACCGTTCATTGAGCTGTTCATGGGCCCGCTGTTCATTGGGCCGTTCATTTGACCGTTCAATTGACCATTCAAAGGTCCGTTCGAAAGACCGTTCATGTTCTCCATGCCTCCTCCCATGGGGCCGAGGCCAGGACCAAGTCGTGCGGTATCGTCTTCTTCGCCCATACCGTCGACGTCGGGCCAGAAGCGCTCTTCGAGCCAGCAAATCTGACGGAAAATCTCCTCGCAGCGCAACATCTCTTCCTTGCCATCGCGTGTGGTGGTGACGTTCGCGAGCTCGTCTACGAGAGCGCGCGTGGCATCCACGAATTTGCTGTAGGCGGGCGAAGTCCAGTTTGGTATGAGGGCTTGGTGCAGAGCAACCACGTGCGAGTCGGAGCTGGGGGTCGAGAGCGAGGTGCTAAAC